TTCCATGATGTATATGTGCCACATTTTCTTAATCCAGTCTGTCATTGATGGACATTTGGGTTGGTTCCAAGTCTTTGCTATTGTGAATAGTGCCTTAATAAACATACGTGTGCATGTGTCTTTATAGCAGCATGCTTTATAATCCTTTGGGTATATCCCCAGTAATGGGATAGCTGGGTCAAATGGTATTTCTAGTTCTAGATCCTTGAGGAATTGCCACACTGTCTTCCACAATGGTTGAACTAGTTTACAGTCCCACCAACAGTGTAAAAGTGTTCCTATTTCTCCACATCCTCTCCAGCACCTGTTGTTTCCTGACTTTTTAATGATCGCCATTCTAACTGGTGTGAGACGGTATCTCATTGAGGTTTTGATTTGCATTTCTCTGATGGCTAGTGATGATGAGCATTTTTTCATGTGTCTGTTGGCTGCATAAATATCTTCTTTTGAGAAGTGTCTGTTCATATCCTTTGCCCACTTTTTGATGGGGTGGTTTGTTTTTTTCTTGTAAATTTGTTTGAGTTCTTTGTAGGTTCTGGATATTAGCCCTTTGTCAGATGAGTAGATTGCAAAAATTTTCTCCCATTCTGTAGGTTGCCTGTTCACTCTGATGGTAGTTTCTTTTGCTGTGCAGAAGGTCTTTAGTTTAATTAGATCCCATTTGTCAATTTTGGCTTTTGTTGCCATTGCTTTTGGTGTTTTAGACATGAAGTCCTTGCCCATGCCTATGGCCTGAATGGTATTGCCTAGGTTTTCTTCTAGGGTTTTATGGCTTTAGGTCTGACATTTAAGTCTCTAATCCATCTTGAATTAATTTTTGTGTAAGGTATAAGGAAGGGATCCAGTTTCAGCTTTCTACTTATGACTAGCCAGTTTTCCCAGCACTGTTTATTAAATGAGAAATTCTTTCTCCATTTCTTGTTTTTGTCAGGTTTGTCAAAGATCAGATGGTTGTAGATGTGTGATATTATTTTGAGAACTCTGTTCCGTTCCATTGGTCTATATCTCTGTTTTGGTACCAGTACCATGCTGTTTTGGTTACTGTAGCCTTGTAGTATAGTTTGAAGTCAGGTAGCGTGATGCCTCCAGCTTTGTTCTTTTGGCTTAGGATTGTCTTGGCAATGCGGGCTCTTTTTAGAGATTATGTTTTAAATGCTGAATCAGGAGGTCTGGGGTGGGGCTTGAAATTCTGCATGTCTGTCTTAATAAGCTCGCAGATCATGCTGTGACTGGTCCCCAGACCACACTTGAGTGGCTTGAGTTTGTTATTTAAAGTGCAAAGCACTGGCCCACACCAGTCCACGAGAGTCAATAAGCCATGGTCCTGCTCTCTTGCAGAATTTGCTTAGTGTACTAGAAAGAATACTCAGGTCAAGAGATCCGCTTTCCACTTCCTGCTCTGCCTCCAACTAATTAGTGTAAGATAAGTTTCTTAGAAGTGCTTTAGTCCTTCACCCTCTTATCTCTAAAATGAGAGGTTTGAATTGAATAAACTTGAAGGTTCCCTTTGTTCTTAAATCCTCTCATGCTTGTCCAGGATGTTTTCAGACTCTATCTGGATCAGGTTTTTATGTGGAATGGAATCTGGATCCTATAAAGACCCTGTCATCCTTTAGAGAATGGAGGCCTAGGCCCTGAGCTTATGATCTAGTGGGAGAAATAAAACTAACAAATGTTAAAAAAATTAAAGAAGAGTTAAACGTTCAAGTGTAAGCTATGATAAGTACAAAAAGAATGCAGGGAAACTAGAGAGGAGTGTTAAGTGAAATGGTCAGGAAAACTTCATTGCCAAGGGGAAATTTGAGTTAACATTGTTTACTGGGCTAGATGACTGCAGGGCTGACACAGAGTGGTGGTCCTCATGCTTTTGAGTTTCCTTGTCTCTAAAAAAGCATCCTTCAACAGTGAAGAACAAAACATATTTTTCTGCCTTAAATTAAAATAAAGTAGGAGAAAGACCTAGTTCTGTGGAAGTGTTTAAAGGGAAATCAAAATCCAAAAAACTCTATATTTAATTTTTCAAGGCTAATCTTGACTGAAAAGATTGATACTGAAAAAAAAATCACCACTACCAAATATAGAGCAAAAAACCCAGTGTACCTCCCTATCGATAATAAAAAATGGTTTTAGAAATTACCTAAAATGTAAGTAAATTCCTCAAATTATAAGCAATATTGAAAGTGACATATCTCTTTATCTTAACTCATTGGGAAAGAGACCAGATAATTTATTTAGATTTTATAACATAGGTGCACAAGAATTTTTGACTCACCTCTTTTAATGTCAAAGGAGATGTATTTTGCATTCTAATTAGAATTTTACTAAATTTTATGTTCCCTTAAGAGGAGGTTGTGTGATCAGGGCTCAGGTATAGAAAAATAAAAAATAGAGCAGTTACCCTCATTTAATGAATTATATTTAGTACACACAGTACAGCTCTGTGTTCTCTGAATATCCTGAGAGTTTTGGTTTTTATCTCTGTGGCTAGATCATTTTGAAACTGCAGACTTTGAGTAATTTTTCTCACAAACACTTGCTATTATAGTTTTACTGTATAGTCATGCTGCATAGTGACATTTTGGTCAAGGGCAGAGCACATGTACAATGTTCCCATAAGATTATAATACTGTATTTTTGCTGTACATTTTCTTTGTTTAGATATGCTTAGATACAGAAATACTTACCATTTTGTTACAATTGCCTGCAATTAATACAGTAACATGCTGTACAGGTTTGCAGCCTAGGAGCAAGCAACTATGTCATATAGCCTACCTATGTAGGAGGCCATACCATTTGGGTTTGTGTAAGCACAGTCTCTGATGTTTGTACAATGATAAAATAGCCCAATGATGTTTCTCAGAAGGTATTCCTGCTGTTAAGTGATGCATAACTGTATATGGGAAATCTTTTATATAATCAACTATTGATTATCTATCACAGTGAGATTGACAATACAATAGAAATCTTGTATTTTTAAGCTGTTAAATACAATTTATGTTACTAAATAGCAAAATTATTTTGGTTGCAAGTGACAGAAAACCCAACCCATTGGGTGAAGCAAAGAAGGGACGTTTTGGGGCCATGTAATTGAAAAATCTGAGGTAGAACTAGTTTCAGATATGGTTGGTATAAATAATGTAGTCAGAATCTGGTTTCTCTGCATCTCATGGTCTTGCTTTCCTCTGAGTTGCGGAGGAATTACATGATGCCTGCTAGTTTTTTTTTTTTTTTTCTTTTTCTTTTTTTGTGGTCTGTCTGGCTCAAACCTAGTGGAAAAGAGAATAGCCATCTTTCCCAAACCCCCCAAACCAAATCCCGAATTTCATCCCATTGGCTGTGATTGTAGATCATTTGTCTCCAGAGTCTCTGGGGCCAGCAGTACTGATTGGCAAGATTGGAGACCTGCGTCTATCCCTGGAGCTGTAATTAGTGGAACAGTAGCCAATGCTCCTCTAAGGAACCATTCCCTTCTCAATCAGGAAATGGTTCCTTAGAGGAGCAATTAGTACTGGTCCAAAAGAAGGAAGAATTGATGTTTGATGTGAAAGTGGCAATGACAACAGTCACTACATATATCTTTCTCAGTTTAAGCCAATGTTAAATTTACATTTTTCTAAATACAAAGATTTCAATGGTGGAAGACCATTACAGGATCTGCTTTGTGGTAAGATAGTGTAGAGCTGGAATTTAAAACAGTAATTCCATCTACAGAATGGATATCCTTAATGAAATAATTAAAAATGACAGTATTGGATATCTGATGGCCTACTTTCCAGGCGGGAATGATATTAAAAATATTTAACAACCTGTGACAGAGGCATCAACCAATCAGAATGAGTTGGATCCAACCAATCAAAACTGGTACTGACAACAACTAGCCAGTGCAGCCCCATGAGTGAGAGTTGGCAGTTTGTCAGCACAACTTACTGGGAGGCATTCTTAAGGTGCTGTCAAGTGTCTCAAAAAATAGAGTTACTATATTGTATGTTGTATACTATATTGTTCTGTGTCACTGCATCCAAATTTCCCTCTTCTTATAGGAAGATTAACCCCTTAGTCCTTACTGTTATTTTAATTCTATTAAAATGTAAATGTTGGTGTGACAATTTGGTGGGGAATTAATATTTATTGGCATGTATGTATGTGCTTGGGGAGGTATTATATTCTTACACATGACTTTATTGAATTCAAACAAGTGTTACCTTAAAAAAATGGAACTGGCCACAATTAGATGAACATCATTCATTAGTGTATTTAAGAGCAAGTACAAGAAGCAGGAGACAAATACTGGTAAAGGGCTCAGAAGCCATATCTTGTAAGGAGTATTTGCATATGGTGGTCATTTCTTCAGCTCTTGGAAGAACAACTGTGTGGAAAAGGGATTAGACTTCAGAGGGCAGAACTAAGTAAGTTAAAGTTAAAGGATGTGAAATACAGGACAAAACTTTCTTAATGTACAATGCACTAAAATGGAAATGGCCGCTGTGTAAGGGAGTAACAAGCCCAAGTTCCTGGAGGTGCTCAGGCAGTTGCTGAGATGCATAATTACCTTTCTGGGACATTTTCATAGAGATCTTGCCATGAGAAAGAAATTGAAATGGAAGCTGTCTTGCAGCTTTGAGATCTATTGCAAGTCCTGAAATTGTTCTCTATGGGTAGGCCATGAAAATCAATATTAATTATGTGACAAGCTATTTCTATAAGCTTAATTTTTGTTCTGTGATCTTGGTGCTATGGACTAGTGAGGAAAAAAGGGAAAGATTTAATTTAGGAGGGGGAAACATCATTAATAAGAAAGGTAGGAGAATAAAACTTGCATTTATTGAGTACTTACTATGTGCAGGGTGTTGGACTAGTCTCTTTATCCATATAGTCTCATCTCATTTAGTACATTTAGTTTTTCACTGATCAGTTTGGAACTTATGGGAAGTGGTTGTTAAAATGATGAATTCTTAAAATAATTGACTTTTTCTTATATATTTTTTGGTGGTGAAACACAGGACTGTTCTGATGGCTACATGTGCAAAATACACTTTCAAATTAAGAGTGGGTCTGTGATGTCACATCCAGGAGCATCTACCCATGGACAGACATGTCCTCCCATGGAGGTGAGTAGTTTAATGTGTCACGCTCTTCTTTTCAGTCTCCATAAAGTATACATTTAAAAATGTATGCTTTAATGAATCCATTGCATTCCATCCTATGGAAGCACCACAATTATATCGCACTCATATTGAAATAAAATAGTTTAATTCTGTTAAGTAAATATTTTAAAAACTTTAAACTTCTTCCCATTGGAGAGATATCCAATTGCCATTGGATCCTGGGCCTGTTGTAGCAGGAGAAGGAGGTATTTTCCTATGTAATACTGAAAGCAAGAATTGTGGTAAAGTTATAGAAGATCCACTCTGACTCCAGATTGTAGTGAGCCGTCATACTTTTGGTTTTTCTTGGACCTGAATACCACAGATGCCTCTGTTGTCTATTTATTTATTTTTTCCAAGTAAAATTCCCTGAAGATAATATAGCCCTAGCCCCAGGCTGCTTAATACTTGATTGGAGACCTTTTTGCCTGCTCTGCCTTTATTCCCTTTTCCCTTGAAAATATGTTGAATCTGGATCTTATTCCTTAGGAGACTTTAACCTTGACTTGAAAATCTTGCTAAACCAAATTTTATTATGGTACTAATGACTGAGTGGTTTTCTGAGATATTTTCAATTTTCTTTTTATTGAAATGCAAACAACCTTATTGTATTTCTTGTGAAAAAAATTGTATATACCCATTGTAAAAATAAATAATAGAGAAATATATAAAAAGGATTTAAAAATGTCCCATATGTCCTTCAGTAGTTTACCACTGGTAACATTTTAGTAAGTATCCTTTCACATATTTCTATCATATACACACATATACATACTTGTTTTTTTTTTTTTTTTCAATGAACAAGTATATCATGGACATCTTTCCATGTCAGTACATGCAGATTTCCATAGTTCTCTATAGTGACTCCATTCCATTCCATCCTATGGAAGCACCACAATTATATGGCACTCATACTGAAATAGAATACTTGACTTTTCAAAGAGGATTGGTGAGGACCTAACTATTTCAACACAAAAGAAGAAATCACTAGTGTTTGAATTCTGAGCATCCTGGGAAAATGAAAGAGGTGACTTTTTTTGTGTGCAGGAAGAACTGTTTCCCAGAACATGTTAAATCAGGCCCATTTGCCAATCAGACATCAGCCCCCTTGCCTGTATATGATGCTGGCCTGCAAGTAACTTTCATCTATTTATAATTTGGTTTGCAAGTTATTCTTGAGAGTATTGTGCTTGGTAATAAGCTAAGTGCCCCCAGATGGGTGCTTGAATCTTGATTACTGCTTCATGGTTCCAATAACCAACATCAAATTTGAAGCCAAGCATATTAGGAAGCTTTTCAATTCATTATATATTAACTTAAAAAAAGTTTTAAAAATTAACATAGAAATGATGATTTAAAAAATGAATTACTAGTTTTTGCCTAACAAGTTGGCAGAGATTTGAAAAGCACTAAAAAGTGGTGTTGACAGTGTGAGGGAACTGACACTTTCTGGTTGATGTTTTAACTTCACAAAGTTTAAAGATGTGCACATACTATGAATAATCTAGTCCAATTCTAGGAATTTAGCCTCATAAAATGTAATTTTTTTCAACATTTTTCATTTCTAACATTTTCCAATAAATTTGAAACATACGGAAAAGTTGAAGGAATTTTGCAGTGAATATCTATATACTTAAATCACCTAAAGTCTACCATTAACATTTTGCTGTGCTTGCTTTATTTTATGTTGATCCCTCTATTTATACATCTTATTTTTTGATGCAATAATTTTAATCAAAGTAAATTGCATACAAGTACTCATAAAATATTTGAGTACACAAAGATTTACCTGCAAGTATATTCATTTCACTCTTATTTATAATAGGAAAAATGAAAATAATGGAAATATACAGTAGTAATGGATTGGTTAATTATGGCACATCTCTAGATGGATGCAGGCATTAAAAATGATATTCTCGGTGACTGTTTAATTACACAGGTTAAATGTTCATGTAGGCCGGGCACAGTGGCTCAACGCCTGTAATACTAGTACTTTGAGAGGCCGAGGCAGGCGGATCACCTGAGCTTAGGAGTTAAAGACCAGCCTGCTCAACACAGTGAAACCCCATCTCTACTAAAAATACAAAATTTAGCCAGGTGTGGGGGCATGCGCCTATGGTCCTAGCTACTTGGGAGGCTGAGACAGGAGAACTGAGCCTGGGAGGTGGAGGTTGCAGTGAGCTGAGATTGCATCATTGGTGGGTGACAGAGTGAGACCTTGTCTTGGGGGAAAAAAAAAAAGTTCATGTTAAGTTAAAAAAAGGTAGATTAGGCCGGGCGCGGTGGCTCAAGCCTGTAATCCCAGCACTTTGGGAGGCCGAGACGGGCGGATCACGAGGTCAGGAGATCGAGACCATCCTGGCTAACACGGTGAAACCCTGCTTCTACTAAAAAAAAAAATACAAAAAACTAGCCGGGCGTGGTGGTGGGCGCCTGTAGTCCCAGCTACTCGGGAGGCTGAGGCAGGAGAATGGCGTAAACCTGGGAGGCGGAGCTTGCAGTGAGCTGAGATCCGGCCATTGCACTCCAGCCTGGGTGACAGAGCGAAACTCCGTCTCAAAAAAAAAAAAAAAAAGGTAGATTATGTGGTATAAACAGTAGAATCCAAGTATGGTTAACATTCTTCAAACTATCCATCGACTACTACAATTTTAAATTATGATTCTTTTTAAAATTTATCTCTTCAAAGAGTTAAACCTGTAACTCTTTTCTTTCACTCTCTTGAAATCCCTAGGGTTATTTTTGCTTGATCCAGTGATTTCATTTGGAGTCAGCATCCATCCTTGTAAGTTTCCATTACTACTGTAGCTCTGGTAGGCATCCCTCTCTTTTTTTCCCAGATAAGAGCAGAAGATTTTAAAGTTTAGAACAAGACAGCCCAGGCTGGGCACGGTGGCTCACGCCTGTAATCCCAGCACTTTGGGAGGCCGAGGTGGGCGGATCACGAGGTCAGAAGATCGAGACTATCCTGGCCAACATGGTGAAACCCCATCTCTACTAAAAATACAAAAAATTAGCCGGGTGTGGTGGCGGGCGCCTGTAGTCCCAGCTACTCTGGAGGTTGAGGTAGGAGAATGGCATGAACCCGGGAGGCGGAGCTTGCTGTGAGCCGAGATCGTGCCACTGTCCTCCAGCCGGGGCAACAGAGCAAGACTCCATCTCAAAAAAAAAACAAAAAACAAAAAAAGAACAAGACGGCCTAGTACCCCATCTTTGTGTATCTCCCAGCTTCCCTACCTCTCTGTAGCAGAAACAGTATTTGAAAGATTACATATACATATACAAACATGTAATACTCACATAAGGCCTAGAAATAATTTCCCCCCTTCCAAACACATAAGATTTTCTTAGAATATTTTTTTTTCTTTTCATTTACATTTATTCTTGTTCTTTCTTTTCAGGAATTTGCTTCAAAAGTATGTGTTCTTTATCTCTCCTTCTTAGTACTCCTCAGATTCATGCTTATTGTTTTAAAAGCCAGATTGCTTCCTTAGATTGTAAACCCCATGGAAGTAAGGTGACTCAGTGAATATCTATTATTTGACTAAACCTTCAGGTTTAATTACCCATAGAACTAGCTCACTTAAGAAATCAGATACCTCTATATTTTGATATAAATTAGATAATCTAGTGAATTACTTAGAATTGATTATTATTTCATATTATTATATATACAATATATAATATAGTATATTATAAAAAAGTATGGGTGTATGTGTATGCATATATATACACATATACACACATACCCCCCTCCCCCCATTTTTTTTTTTTTTACACACAGGGTCTTACTCTGTCTCCCAGGCTGGAGTGCAGTGGCACAGTGATAGCTTACTGAATCATCTAATTCCTGGGCTCAAGTGATCCTCTCACCTCTGCCTCCCAAGTAGCTGGGACTACAGGCATGCACCACAATGCCTAGCTAAGTTAAGAATTTTTTTTACAGATTTGGGTCTTGCTCTGTTGCCCAGGCTTGTCTGCAAGTCCTGGCCTCAAGCGATCCTTTCTCCTCAGCTTCCCAAAGTGCTGAGATTACAGGCATGAGCCACTGTGCCCAGGCTGAATTCTAAAAGAGTTTAGTTTCTACTAGAATAACATTTTTTTTCAACCATCAATTTACATAGAAAAATCAACAATGTTTAAAAAGAGGTTTGCAGGGAGTTTTTAGTAGTTTGTGTTTCTGAGTTGTCACTGGAATGGAATCGGATGATAAACCCTTCATCTTCCAGTCAACTCCAGTGTTTTATTTTTAATATTTGGCAACTCATAGTAAATTTAGTCTGCCTAATTTGCTCAGATTATAACAACAGCACAAGTAGAAGAAAGAGTGCTAGACTTGGAGATAGAAATTGTTTTGTAGTTCTCTTCACCACTTATTAGTCATGTAACCTTGAGTAAACTTCAGTGTTCTCATTCAAACTGTGGGCCCTTCTTTCTTCTTGTTTTGGTTGGATGTAACAAGGGTACAGTGCTCTTATTAATACTAATAATGTCACACATATAATTATCTTTTTATGGTTATCTCATAATTATGCAAGAAGCAGCAGGATGTGAATGGAGAAACATGAAGGAGCAGGAAGAGAGCAGCGACTGTAACACTTCCTTTCTTTTCATATTCTATTCTTACCTTTAGATGCTGGGAATAATGAGTAGCCTCCAGCCTGGAAACTAACCCTTATTCAGCCACCACCACCAGTTATCTCAGAGAGTGGTACAGAGACAATTGAGAGTGACTCTCACTAAAAAACAATGGTAGACTAATTAGAGCATTTAAAACATTCCATTTGAACTACATATGTAATGTCTTACTTTCCTAGATCAACACTGGACAGAGATGTGTTTTCCTCTTAAGTTCTCTCTTTCTTCATCATAGATTTGTTTGTAACTTTTATTTAGTCAGTAATATAATTAGAGGTATGGCAATTTGAATTTTTTTAGTTTTTCATTTAAAAATACCTCAGATG